GGGGTAGGAAAAAGGAACATACATGATAACCTTCATCTTGTGTAAACATTAACATAACTTTTAGCCTTTGGAGCTTAAGATTATACGACAGGGCCTCACCTTCTCCGACGACCGTGGTATTCATTGGCCACACATCTAGAAATGCAACACTTAAATGAGTACAGTAAGACCAATCGAATGGAACATTATTCAAAATGTATTACGAGGCAGTATTTGCCTACAGCTACGAAGAATTTTTTCAAATTTCTTGCGAACCACGATAATGGTAAAGTAGGGGTGGGAAGGGGGGCTTACTTGTAAAATCAGCTCGTAGGCTAGTTTTCAGACCCCCCTCCTTAGTTGAAAGGAGATCCTTCCTTTAAATGGTAAGTTAGATCTTGTTAAAAACCTTTAAATACAACTTGAACCAGTTTTGAACACCTAATGGCAACGGTGTGGTATCGGTTATAAATTCCCACTATAATTGCAAAAAACTGACTTTGTTGGGTAACAAAACAAACCACCGAAAAAAAAAAGCATTGTATTCTTTACCAATGTATCCTTCCTTGCCAAGAGTGTTCTTGTCCAGTTGAGCGAAGCTGTAAAATTCACCATAGTGATTAAAATATTCAGTCTGCTGTTTGGGATTAAAAATTTGATTTGTACTAAGAATACACCAAATAGCAAACAGAGGAGCAAATATTTACTTTCACAAAAATAGTGGTCTGCGACTACAAAAATTCCAGTGAAAGAAGCCTCAACAAAGTTCTCGTTCCAGCCTCCCAAACATTAGTTGGGCTCAATTACCGACTGAGCTATGCACCCGCATGCCACATTAAACTCCATTGGGTCTTTGTATCGGTAAAGGAAAAGAAAAGGGATATTTAATTGTAACTGGTCGAGAGTAAATAGCAAGTGGGGTGAATCACAGCAAGGCCCTTGACAATTGTTGTACTTTATGTAAAAAATAGACTGGATAGTGATGAAAATGGCTTTCTGGTAAACAGTGACTCCAAGACACACAACATACTTCATATAACATTCTTCAGTATAACGTGACTTACTTTCTGGCAATGCAGACGTTTTTGCCCATTAAAACCGCATCCTATAAGCATAGGAAAAAAGAGGAAAAAAGAGGAAAAAAGAGGAAAAAAGAAGAAAAGTACTATTTGTATAGAATTGTCTTAAGTAAAGTATACAGTCTAAGAGTAACTTTACCTTGGGCGGTGCAAGTAATTGCGATTGACATAATATGAAAGTAATTGAGACTGATATGAAAACTCGTGCCACATTTTCAACCAGTCAGATGGAAAACTGAATCCATTCTTGAATTGATCCGCCGCGTTTTCCCTCTCTTCAGGTAATCTGCTTGTTTTAACCTTGATATCGTATGGGCTTCTTGTGACATTTACCTCAGTTCTGATTTGACGATGTGATTATTTCCGTATTTATTTTACAAAAAGCGCTGTAAGCAACTGCGATTCCTTGGCCATTTGCTACTGTAAGCAAACTATTCTTGGTGGTTTTAAAAACATTGTGTTTCTGCAACAGTTGCATGCTTAAAAAATTGTCACAAAATATTCCACAGCAGCTGCCTACCTTAATAATTCCTACATAGTCCTTTAATGTCATTTTCTGATGTCCAGGCTGGGTGAAAGACACATGCAACAAAGTTTTAGAACACAATTATCTTGAAGGCGTCATTAAAGCCAGTCGTTAGGATTATGTATTTTAACTTAAGGCTATTTTCATCGAAATCAAAGAAAAAAAAATTACCTTCATGATTGCAACATAGACCAAACTACATTTCTCGTTAACTTACGTGTGTTCGAAGTGGTGGAAGGTGTAACAGTACACTGCGATAAATTTCATCTATGGTAAAAATAGAAACAAGGAAATTTCATCAAATAATTAACAACTTCATTCCGGAACCACATAAAAAAGGATGCAAAAGCACAACCAAAAAAGCAACATTAAAAGACCCCGATAAGTTTAGAGAAATAAGTAAGACCTATCCCATTTCTTACCTTTCCTTTGCACCCTCATAAACGGAAGTCTCGGCTTCCTGAAGATTCCACGAGAAAAACTCTCCGTAGGGAGCTCATGATCGTAAAACCCTGTTTACAAATGTAGGAGGTAAGGTCAATTCCAATTTTTCTTTCATTGGTATATTGTTTGTTGAGTTTTCTTTGTGAAAAGCATGATGAAATAGCCCTCTTGCATATTGGATGACAGATCATGAGCAGTTCAATTACTGTGAGAGGGCTAGAGAGTTTAAACACTGAGTAGTGTGGGTGGGTAGGCGAGTCCTTGCTGGCTCATTTTGCAAGCTAATTCACTTCTTGTGGAAACACCAACCATACAACACTACTTTCTGGTTGAAGACTACATTCACCCAGGTGCCAGACAAAATGCAGGATGGGAAGTTACATAAAATGGACTGGCACCCGGTCTAACTGAAGAAACAACACTTCAGGATTAATTGAAAATGGAATAAGCTGCTAATCTATGGGTTAGTTCTGGTCAGAAATGCCTAAGAAAGTAAGGTCTTTTTCCCTGTATTGTTGTTTCTTTCATTTTCATCTTCCCTCAAGTGTTGTCTCCACAAACGTTTTATCACTAACAACGAAATACCATACATCTTTTAATTTTATTTACCTAAGATTAGAGTGTTTGGTTTCATCCCGCCCAGTCCAGAGGTCTAAACACACACACACAAAAAGACAATATAACTTAAATAGAAAAATTGAGATCAGTTTTAATCTGAATGTCAATAGGAATCTAAGATCACATTGGTTTTTCATTAGTCCAAAAAGTTGGGCAACATTTAATCAAAATGCGCTAAGGGGAGAAGGACAGCATTGCACAGCAAATAATTCAGTGCTAATGACACTGGTTTTGAAATAAGACAACTGTATCAGGACTTCTTGCAGTTGCTCCTCATTTTTAAAGATTTAACGTCAACAAAAAACATCTAAAAAAAATAAATACAAAAAGATGAATACATGGTAACTTTGCACGTATTCCACATGGTTCACCAGCAAGCTAAGACTCTAAAAAGAATCATGAACGAAATAATGATTAAGTAACTTTTCTCACCATCAATAAGTTTTGTGCGCCAGCACGTATGGTTTGTGCAACAGTTAGCTCCACAAAGGCCTTTATTTCCGTACAATCAATGAAATTTAGCCAAGTTGTAAGTTCACGCTTTTGTCTTCTCAATAACTGTAGAGAGGAGAAATAAAGTAGTCAATAAATACGTCAATCAATCAGTCAATCAGTAAATCAGTCAGTCACTCAATCAGCCAATCCATCCATCAATCAATCAATCAATCAATCAATCCATCAATCAGTCAGTCAATTAGTCAGTCAGGCAGCTGGTAAATTAATCACTTGGCCAGTCATTCTGTGATTCAGTCTAGCAATTAATTATGATAGCAAACTAGCCAAGTATTCACTTTGCGACTCAACTGGTCAGTCAGGGTAACTTTAAGTTTTATCAACTGAGTTGATAATGTAAATTGGCCACTGTAAAGAACTTCTTAAGCTGATATTTCAAGTGTTAGCCCTTTGTCAGAGCGAATGGCTATGGCTAACACTTGAAGCAGTTTATAAAACCAAGTTATCTTGTAATTCCTCCCCCCCCTGCCATACGCAGCACCATAGCTTCTGACTGTCAGTCAGTCGGTCAGTCAGTCAGTCAGTCAACTTTATAAACTAACGAGGGTGTCACACAATGCTTAATACTGTTGGAAAATTTGACTTCTCGATCCAAAGTGAAAATTTAAATACTACTTCAAACAATCAATTACTTACCTGAACATCAAATCCACCTTCTTGGATATGACCCAGTATATAAAGACCACCCTAACAGTTATATGCAAAAAAAAAAAAAAAAAAATCAATTATTTGTTTTAGGTAACAGTGTTGTTTGCTATTAATCAATCTTCCAAAATATAGTATATAGCTTAGAGGCAGTGGAAAGAGAGGGCACTGTGAATTAGGAAACAGTGTACTCTCTTCATCAACAATAATTATAGACTTGGAACTCATAAAAAGTTATGACTACATTGCAGTATTGGCGAACTGTTCATGCATTAAACCCAATTCAAATTTGAACTGACTCAAACTGACAAAAGTAAGTACACCTTTCAATTCAGTTGCTTACTAGCAATTCCCTGGCTGTTCCTATTACAATTTGAGGATTTTTTTTAATTACGGTTTGAGAAAAAATGAGTGAACACGATTTACGTCTTGGGTTGAGTTCACAGGGCCTAGATTAAGCCATCACATAACTGCTCAAAGTCAAAACTGCAGGCCAAGCTAGGTGGGAGGAATGGCTGAACCATTCTAAAGTTGAAATAACCATTTTTGGTTCATTTAGATACCAAACTTTTCTTCACCTTCTTGATGTCATTAACAAAGTCTATCAAGGGGTAACCAGAGCGTGGATTGGACACCAATAACAGCACCTGACGTACAAAAGAAAGCAAAATTTCTGATTTATAACTTTTCGATGCTTCATTTAATTTCAACTGAATTAAAGAGAAGTTGGAGTTCTGAGAGAACATATAGGCCAGAGAGGGGAGTTCATACTTGGGTAAGTGGGTTAAGTGAAACCTGTCTTTACAGGAATACAATTAGCTAGGAAAGTCAAAGATGTCTTTTGTCTTGCTACTAGCGTGGGAGAAAGCCTCTTGAGTCAAGTTGGAGCATGATAGTGGCTTCTACATGCGAAAATAGGCCTTGGAATAAGTGAAAATAAGCTGAATGTGAAATATTGTGGTATACCCTCAACAATTTGTTAAGGACAACATCTGTGTTCAGTTGATGTCTGTGTTCTATCAATGTCGACGATTGTTTCAACGTGAAGTGATTTCCAGCTAAGTTTCCAGTGCCATTTAGTTTTATAGTGCTGATGTGCTTAAAGGTGATTAAGCCCCTGATGAGAAATCTAACTCTAGAACTTCCCATTCTACGCTCCAATGTTCTTCCTCTGAGCTACTTAGAAGTTCTTATGCGACACATGTCCTGCATACTGCTAAAATCAGAAATTTCCACATTTAATTGTTCACATTAATCATCGCACTTCTTGGATTCTTGGAAAAAAAATTCATCCTCAATTAAAATTCTTGCACATACATCTATCATTCAGGACCCTTCTGAAAACATAGTATATCTAGACATTAAATTGGGTGTCAATACCTGAGGTCTCCAGAATTTCACATGGTCTTTTCTTAAGTCTAGTCGAAGAAGGTACTTCCTCACCTACAAACACAAAACCCCAAATAATAATGACCTTAATTGCACAAAAATGAAAAACGTTGAGATTTTTCTTATGCTGCTTTAAGGTTAAAAAAAAACAAACAACATACCTGATGGTAAATCAAAGCTTGTGACACATCTCCCCAAGGGGTGGGAGGTGCACGGAGAGAAATCACCACAAACAAAATCACCATGAGAGCTGAAAACAAATAAAAATGATTAAGATGTGAAGTTCTGCATTTCAAGTTTACAACTAGATAAGGAGCTTGAGATTTCTATTGGGCCATAGTTAATGAGGGAAAAGTCCGAATCACGCTTTAAAATCGAGAGCAAATATGTGACTTTCCTTTAGACTATATATCTACTATTTGCTCACACATTAACAAAGACATAGGCTCGTCTTCTTATTAAATAACTACTAGCTATCACAGAATAGATGACGTGTAGTTTAGCCAATCAAATTGCAGCATTTGTAAGAGTGCTTGTAGATTTAGACTAAAACCAAAGTCGTGTTAATTAAACAGAGTGCAATTAAGGTTAGCTGTCTAAAATGTGGATACAATCTCTAACTAAGTCATCGTTGAGTGTGTGCTTGAAAGGACAAAATTTAATACATCCTGAAAAACTTTCAGCAGATAGGTTACCTCTGCTGGACTGTGGCTTGCAGGCTTGCACTCCATCCACAGGGAGCAGCAACACTCGTAGTTGCTTCATGCAGAACCTAAACCTGATATACACGTGCATGGCAAGGTCCAGTTACATTGAATTAGGCTCAGAATTTTTTTCTACAATACTGTAGGATCAATTGGTAACAACCTACCAAATGCAAGAGCAGCCCATTTGTAATTGACCAGGAACATGATCAGGAAACAAAACACAGCACCAAGGAGAGCTATGATAAATGAGAGAAATGTTACCAGTGATACACAGCTGATAAAAATCCCAGTCATCTTTAATTACCATGGAGCACTTAAGTTCCTCAGCAAAAAAAAAACAAGGTCAGGAACTTGCAATGTTTTCATGGGGTTACATAATACAACCAGTGTTTTTAATCACTTAGAATTATTGTAGGAGGCTTAGCTTGAATTTGAAAATTTCAAGTTGGTTTGCTCACAAATCACCATCAAGGGTCTAAGGCATATGCATAGGTGGATGTTCTCCACATGAAGGATTCATGAAATAGTTCAAAGCATGTGAAATGGCAATGACTTTTTCAAATGCTTTTCCAATACTTTTTGTAAGCCTCTCACATGCATGTACAATTAACACATGAAATTATACTTTTAAAACTGTACAGCGACAGTGCATATAATTATTTCACCATCATGAGCACCTGATAAAAGAAATTATATGATGTGAAAGTGATATGACTCCCATCATGCCATCTACTTCCTTGCTTATTGTTACAGTAGTAAAAACAACACAAATGCACAAGTTTGTGTTGAGGAAAGAAGTGTTTAAAGCAATTCAAAACAAATCTCACCCGATTGCCAAGAGAAATACTGAAATGTTGGTCTGTAACAAATAGAGGAGATGATTTTATCATTAGTCCACTATCTAAAATAATTATTAACAGTTTCACAAAAATGAAATACTCACCTAAAGTTTGGTGCAGAAGCAACTTTGAGAGCAAAGCATGCCATGTTGGTGACCCCATATGACAGGAGAAAGAACATACTGACCAACACAGCAACTTTGTCCACATTTCCAATCAAAAGAACAACCTGCAGATTGACAAGAGACAAAAAATATGATCAACATGCCAGAGGCAGATCCAGGAATTTTTGATTGAAGGGGTCCAAACTTTGGTTCAGAAAAGACTGTTGGACTCTTTGAGGCAAATTACTTCTCCCCCACACCCCCTCCCACCAGTCGCGGTTGCATGTTATAATTCCTTGGCCGCTTACCGTTTATTTGGATTCTTTAATAAAATCAGCCAGTTAAAAGTGATATACTATCCTGTCTCAAAGTTGTAAGCGTCAGGTTTGATAGGGGGGTCCAGGGGTGACCCCCGGACCCTTCCCCTGGATCCGCCACTGCATACAGTGCTATGCTCTCCATTATTGGAAACGAGTGACAAAGCAAGTGTTTGAAAACCATAGGGGTGAGGAAGCTATTTCTCTAACAGCTACACCCTCCAACTTTTCACACCCTACTGTTGCCCTCACTGCAAGGTTGTCACATATAGTGTTCTCCAGAGGTAACTGCAGCCCAGGTGTTGATTTGACTTTGAGGCCCTCAGATACTTAAAAATTGTACAAACAAAATACTTGTTGCAATATGAAACAAAATTGAAATTCTAACCTTTGCTTTACAAACCCCCCCCCCCAAAAAATGTAAAACTGTAAAGATTAAAAAAGCAGACTGGATACTTGTGGCATAGATGCTCAAGTCCTTTGGAAACTCACTCGTTCACTGCCGTCTACATTTTTTTAGAATTTTATTTTAAGGCTGGCTACTGAAAAATCACTTTAACACCCTCCTTTCTCAAAATAAAGTTTTACCTGAACAAGGAACCATGACATCAAAACAGCTCTTAAAGGTTCTCCATTTCTGCGGATAACTTTGCTAAATGGGCGAAGTATGATACCTTTTGGGTAAAATTAATCCAGAAAATGTTCTAAATAGCTTGTTAGGGACAATCAGTTTGGAAAAAAAAAATACATTTTGGGACCAGGCATGCCCACAGACAAGAATGAAGGAGGAGGTAACAAACAAAGAGGAAGAAAGAAGTGCAAGCCTGCTATATTCACCATGAATTGAATAAAATTTTCAAAGAAAAAAAGAGGAAGCAAAAAATAAGAAACTAAAGATAATTTAGAGGGAGAAAGAAGCAATGAGTGAGAAGGGAAGAGAAGAGAGGCCAGGGGAAAATAAGAAAGATATATCCATTTTAAATTCAGCAGCTTACCTAGTAAATCATCTTTAGCAATAGCTTGGAGAATTCTTGAGGCACCTAAGGAAACAATGAAAAATTTCAATCAAAACTTAACATCAAGCTCATTATATTAACTGAATGTTATGGTCTAAAATGATGAATCCAAGCAAGTTTGTCATGAACCTAATGTGATCAAATGACAACATACATTATGCACAATAAAGGTTCCATGGATAATAAAATAAACTTGATATGTGTGACATGCAACTGTGACAGTGTACTGACCTATGAGGCAGCTGAGAGCAGCTGAAAGAGTTGCAGCAAATGTTCCTACAGTTATTAACCATTCCACTTTGTTGATTACCTAGGGATAAATATATCTTATTAACCATGCGTGAGGGCTGTACTGGGAGAATATTGGCCCGAGGTCTTGACAGTACGGACTGAGCGCAGAGAGGTCCATACAAAAAAGACCGAGGGACGATATTCTTCCAGTACGGTCCTGAGCAAGCTTGGTTAATAAGAGATTTATTATAATACGACTGAAGTTCAAAGGGACACAAGTGTGGTATCATTCGGGACTATTTGGGACCATTTGGGACTGTGCCCGGTCCAATACTGAGAGAATATTGATTGGCAATAGAGTATTTTGATTGGTTGATTTTAGTTATTGGACCTCTGACTGCCCGAGTCGTGTAATAAACAGCAAGTACAAGTCAAGCAGTCAGACATCTCTGCACAAGTTCTACAACTGACAGTAACTTCCTTACACTACTGACAGAAGTGATTATTATCATTGGTGGGGGCCTTGAGTTAATTGGACATTTTTCCAACTTCCATTACATTTATTTATTAAATAATTAAAATTTTCACAAACATAGTTACCATAAGATAGTTGTAATTGTTTCGTAGTAAGGATCTGGGACATGTAGCACTTGTAAAAACCACTGCAAGAAAATTGGTTTGCTGCAGCAATTAAGTTGTCTATAACTGGTAGGGAGAAATATCTTTAATTGGTCATATTTGGTAACAAGCATTTTATCCAAGAAAGCTTTAAATGCATTTTTCTTAATATATGGATTCTATTAGTTGATGCTCTGCTGATAAATGTTTTTTTCAGAAGTTAAATCTTTTTACTGATAACAAAAAAGTGGACTTTCAGATATTTGACTAACTATTATACAATCTGTTGATCGTACAGATATTACAAGATGTCATCAACAATAATTTTCGGGGAGAAGCCACATGAACAACAACTAACATTCAAAAACTTCAAATAACTCACCTAAGAGCAAATATAAAATGAATGTAAAAACACTTGCACCAAGGGTACCAAATGGTATGGCATATCCAGGTTTTTTCAAGTCCCCTGATATGTTAGCACCAGCTAAAAATTACAAAAATGTTTTCTTCAATTGTTGATAGTACAAAGCCTGAAGCACAGAGGGGCAGTTAAGTTTGAGCTGGTGACATGCCTGGTGATATCATTTGCCAATTCCCACAAAATTGATTGTTAGTGAAAATCCCCGATGTGCAACATTCTAGATATCCACATTTCTTGTAGATCATGGCAAAATCACCATCACTGCACCTGGAACATGTGGCATTTTTTGCCCATCATCATGATGGGCTTCTTTAAAGGAGCAATTGAGCTTGCACAAGTTACTTTTGCACAAGTTACTTTCCCACATGCCACCTTAAGTCTATGTCTTCAATTAGGCTTGCACATGTAACTTTCCTGCATGCCACCTTGTTTATGTCTTCAATTTGATTTATTAAAGAACTTCTGCAAGGTGCAAAAAATTGTTTGGCAAGTGAGAAGTAACATGAGATATTACTAGGTTTTTAATCCAAAGATGTGAAATTTGAGCTTATGGAAATAATTGATAGATTTATATGTGCACAGTACAGCATGACTACAAAATGTGTTGAGAATTATGTACCCATGACTCCAGTAACCCCATTGAACAGAACTCCAAACACTGTCAAAGGAGTCTGATGCTCGTTAGTTGTATAGTCTTTGGTGAAGTCAGGCTGCAGAAAAAAAAAACATTATAACGATCACTGACCCACAAATTATCCAGTCTAAGTGCTACACATTCCCATCCAAATGAGAAAATTTGGTTTTAAATCATGAAACAAAATTAGAACTAGTAACTTGTTCTTTGAATCACTCCAGCTGTTTGTATCTTAATCATATGTAAATTAAACAAATTACAAAACTTTTCTCTCTAGCAAAAACCAAAAAGCATTTCAATTACTGCCAAATAATAATTGGAGAAAACTGAAACTGTGTGGTAGACACAAGTAACCATAGATTAATATACTTCATGCCCTCCAGATCATGTGATTGGATGATCTTCACTCCATCTCTCTTCCTCTTTCTCCCCCCTACCATTACCTCCTTCCTTACCACATTCCTTCTTTCTCTTCCCTCCCTCATGCCTCCCTTTCTATCCTCCTTTCCCCTCTCTCCTTCCTTCCTTCCTCCCTCTCTCTCTCTTCCCTTCCTCCTTCAACCCCCTTTCCTCCTTTTCTACCTCCCCTCCTTCCACCTCCCTTATTCCTGTCTTCTCTCCCTCTCCCTTTCCTCGCTATTCCCTTAGCTTTCACCCTTCCTCTTTCCTTCGTTACTTCCTTCCTCCTTCTCTGATGACTTTCCCTTCTGCCTCCGTCTTTCTCTCTCTCCCCCTCCCTCCTTCCTCCCTCTTTCCCTCCCTCCCTTCCCTTTCCCTGAAGCTAAGCCTCCTCGATTACTTTAATTTGTTTTACCATTAACTTAATTCAATAACTGTATTTCTAACTGAAATTGTTACTGAGAAGGAAAAGAATTTTGTAAAAACATACAATCTTGCTTTGTATTCCTGAGCATAACCTTACCCAAAGATTGTTGTGCAAAGTCGTAGAATTCCAACCCGAGTATCTGTATGTAACATTCTGTAAAAATTAATGTTTCTTTTATAAAACGAACAACTCATTTAAATGTCACATACTGAAAAAAGTTGTACAACATTCAATAATTATGTCTTGGACTACTAGTTAGTAGTACTTTTGAGATAGCAAAGAACAGTCAGAGCAATGCTCTTAACCCATGTTTAAACCATCCACAGCTGTAACTTAAAAGTTCTATGACCTGTCTTAAATACAATACAAAACCCTGTAATTGAGAACTTTCAGGTTTCACCCAAAGAAAACAGAGTAAAAAAAGTTTGTAAGTGTTTAATTGCTTCTGGCTTGGCTATTTATCAGAAGATTTTCTTTAATGATGACAGGCTCAACCAGAAGGTATGGAAACTCCTGTCAAAATTTCAAATCATGGCAATTTTTGACCGTGTAAAAAAGCTGAACATTGAACACTCCTTTACAAGTAGCTACATAATTGACACAAAGCTCAGGAGAACTTCCCCAATTTTCATTTCATTCATTCAGCTAACACTTTTGACACAGGTCTAAAATGACATTAAACACCAAATGAACATACCTGGGGAAATTTATGTGTGTCACTTCCTGCATGAATTCCAGGGGGCAAGTCACCCTTGTGTTTGACAATAAGAAAACTGACCTGAATCAATCATAAACATGACCATAAGATAGTGCTTGGTAAAATAAAAAATTAATTTCCTGTTATTTAACTGGCTTTGTAATTGTTGTACTGTGTTTTTGAAATTTCTAAGATGTACATAAGTAACAATTATAAAAATCTTTCTCCTCACTTCCTAAAACTTAACATTAAATATCAAGTACTATTATTTCTGAATCTCTCCTTCTTCGAGTCGATTTGACAAAACCTTCATAAAACTATACATAAAATAGAAAGCAATGTAAAGAAATAATCAAAACTGTACATTTTCAAACCAGATATGTGTAAGTCAAACACTCTTCAAAATTTGCCGGCCTTAAGGGAGTTAGGTCAAGAATCTCTCTTGTTTTGGAAACAAACACATCTTGTAGAGATATCCTAGCAGTGTATAAACGCACAAGGATTCCAAGATACTTAAAAATTGACAGAATTCAGGGCATAGAAGAAAGCTGCCGATAAAAAGGCTTTCAAATTCAAAACAAAATTGAAACATCAGCTTCGTCAGTTTCTGTAAATTTTGAAAACCTCTTCTGTTGCCAGTCAAAAATATCAAGTACTATTATTTCTGAATCTCGACTTTTCTTCGAGTCGATTTGATGAAACCTTAATAAAACTATACATAAAATAGAGAGCTATGTAAAGAAATTATCAAAACTGTACATTTTCAAACCAGATATGTGTAAGTTAAACATGCTTCAAAATTTACTGGCCTTAAGGGAGTTAGGTCAAGAATATCTCTTGTTTTGGAAATAAACACATCTTGTAGAGATACCCTAGCAGTGTATAAATGCACAAGGATTCCAAGATGCTTAAAAAATGACAGGGCATAGAAGACAGCTGCCGATAAAAAGGCCTTCAAATTCAAAACAAAATTGAAATATCAGCTCCGTCAGTTTCCGTAAATTTTGAAAACCTCTTCTGTGTTTTTGTAATTTCTAAGATGTACAAAAGTAACAATTATAAAAATCTTTCTCCTCACTTACTAAAACTTAACATTAAAAGGATATCAGGTCGGTTCTGGTAAATTCTATTTTGCATAATGCATAAACACAACGATCAAAATAACTTGCAATTGAAGATGAAACAGCAACCATGACAGCTAGGAAAATGACAAATGATGTCTTTGCAAACATTCCTGAAAAATATGTAAAAATCACTTCATTAGTGCAACAGTACTTGATAAAGGAAAAAGGGAGAGGTAGGAGAAGGGAGATGGGAAAAGGAAGGGGAGAGAGAGGACGGGATAAAGCAAAGGAAGGAAAATGGGAAAACAGAGAAGGGGAAGGAAGAAAAGAGGAGAACAAAAGGGGAAGGGTGAGAGAGAAAACAAAAAGAAGGAAGGAAAAAGGAAGGGATGGAGTAAGGAAGTGGGAGGAGAAAGTGAAGGAAGGGAGAAAGGGAGAGGGGATGAAGTGAGATGGGGTGATGGAAGAAGGAAGGAAATGGGAAGGGAAGGAGAGAAACAGGAAAAGGAAGAAGGAATAGAGGGAGGGATGAAGGAAGAAAGTGGGAAGAGACAGAGAGGGTAGGGAAGAAGAGAACAGGAGAAGATAGAGGGGGGAAAGGGACATGACAGGAAGGAAAAAATAATGAAGGGAGAGATATAGGGGCCGAGGTAGGAGGAATGGAAGGACGGGTGGAGGAAGAAAGTGGGAAGAGACAGAGAGGGTAGGGAAGAAGAGAAGAGGAGGAGATAGAGGGGGGAAGGGGACAAGACAGGAAGAAAAAAGTAATGAAGGGAGAGATATAGGGGCCGAGGTAGGAGGAATGGAAGGAGGGGTGGAGGAAGAAAGTGGGAAGAGACAGATAGGGTAGGGAAGAAGAGAAGAGGAGGAGATAGAGGGGGAAAGGGGACATGACAGGAAGAAAAAAGTAATGAAGGGAGAGATATAGAGGCCGAGGTAGGAGGAATGGAAGGAGGGGTGGAGGAAGAAAGTGGGAAGAGACAGAGAAGGTAGGGAAGAAGAGAAGAGGAGGAGATAGAGGGGGGAAGGGGACATCACAGGAAGAAAAAAGTAATGAAGGGAGAGATATAGGGGCCGAGGTAGGAGGAATGGAAGGAGGGGTGGAGGAAGAAAGTGGGAAGAGACAGATAGGGTAGGGAAGAAGAGAAGAGGAGGAGATAGAGGGGGGAAGGGGACATGACAGGAAGGAAAAAGTAATGAAGGGAGAGATATAGGGACAGAGGTAGGAGGAATGGAAGGAGGGAGGAATGGAGGAGAGAAGTGGGATGGACGAGGGAATGGAAAATGAGAAAGAGAAGGAGAAGAAAGGAAAGGAACAGGGGAAGGAAGGGAACAAGAAATAACAGACTTAAACAAAATAAAATATCATAAAGTAAGAGACTACACCACAGAATGATACTTCTGTCTTACCTGAGCCAATCAAGCAAACTAGCAGGCAAAAGAGCAGGACTACTGATGCATATAAAAAATGATACCATTCCCCTGGATGGAAAACTACATCAACAAACAGTAAAAGAATATTTCAATAGACAGACTGACACATTTAAAAAACTTGTAACTACTTAACGGTAAATTGAAAGTAATATAATATTAAGTTTTAGTTCATAAATTGAGAATTGGTTTATAAACCACTTATTAAGAGAAAATCGGACAAACTTACAATAATTATTGCCCAAAAACCAATTATTGTTTGTCACCTGGTACTTACTATTGGGGTGAGTTTCTGCAAAATTGTTTAGCAAGGCCTCAACAAAACCTGTTCAAAAAAGAATTCTGATTGTAAGCCACATAAACACTGCAAATGTATTATGATATTGGCTTTGGTAAACAATAGTGGAGGTCAAATAGAATACACTTTTTGCAAATTTCTCTCCAGCTTGATCAATCTCCATAATTTTGCAGATACTTTGCCATCTTTTAAAACACTTGGAACAATTAATTTAAGACAAAAAAAAATCTTGGAAAATATGTCACAAAAATGAATTTGTTAGTTAAATAAAACTGCAAAATTTTGTTAGCTGTTCTGTGGCTTGTAAAATATTAAGACAGTATACTATAGACTCACCCAGAAGATAAAGAGCAGAGGCAAAGATGTTAGCAAAGTAAAATATCACTCCTATTGATCCACCAAATTCTGGACCCAATGTGCGACTAATCATGTCTGATTTGAGTTAAAAAAGTGTCATGGCATTGTATATAATAATTAATAAAACAATTGTACATCACGGATGAAATGCGTGATGTTTGATACAAATCCGAGAAAATCATTGTTAACAACATCATCCCGGTCATGAAAATATTTTGTAAATGAGTAGGAGGCACAAAACAGAAGGTCTGGCTTCATCTCAAGCCCTCTCAGAAGGGATTGACATGTAACTTCTCCCTATGATATCCATACATTATCCAGCAAACAGGTAATCAGAATACTCAAACTTATCAGGTAGAAGTTTTTATCTTGATCTAACAGCAAATTCTTGTAACTAATTTGCAAGGAAATGTAAAGCAGCTAGAAGGGAGAATTAACAATCAGATCTTGGGAGTTCAAGGGTTAAGGTATTGTGTTATTGGGTGAGGGACTCACAGTGTTGTACCTCTTACCAAAGTGCAATGGCGACCTGTAAAATTTCCCCTTATTCCTTAAATCTTGAAAAATAAAATCTAGATACAGAAAATGTAATATTTAGAGTAAAAAAAGCAAATTTTCAAATAAGTAGTTACTGTGATAAACTGAAAAATAAACTTTTCGATTCTCTCAGAGAAACAAGAAGCTGCAGCAAACTCTGCTCTTACTCTTCAAACCATATCGCAGTATCATGACAACAAATAAAAAAATTCTCTGAAATTATTCTGTACTATCAATTCCATTTGGTGCTAGATTCTTAACAGGATACAGTAGGCTCCACCCTCCTTGACAGCACCATTTGTTGCAATGGCTGAGATGGACAGTATTGTTAAGCCTACAACAAAGTAAGCTATCACAAACATGCCGATGGACAATACTAGGCCAGCCTGTAAAACAACAAAAGTCCTTAAACAAAAAAAATGTCTTTTCCTTTTCTATTCAACCATCATCAGGGTTGAAACAGTAGGAGTTAAAACCCTTCGACCTCTAAGAATGAACAGCATCTAATTTCTCCTTACAATATCACCCCCTGAATCACAATTAAGGTCAGGAGAATAAAGGAAATGATCACCAATGAAAGAAGCTCTTGATTGCTTAACAATTTCTCCTTACAAAATCACCCCTGAATCACACATTATGGTCAGGAGAATAAAGGAAATGATCACCAATGAAAGAAGCTCTTGATTGCTTAACAATTTCTCCTTACAATATCACCCCTGAATCACACATTACGGTCAGGAGAATAAAGGAAATGATCACTAGCTACATGACTGTACAATTCTCCTTGTCAGCACCTTAGGAAATGTATAAAGAACAGTATGGAGAATATGCATACTGATGTCATGGTGTGAAGAGTTGAGGGTGGGGAGAGAGAACTGTAGAGCTTTGTCAACTCTTCTTCACCGTGTCACTCTCAAACTGTTTCTAGGAATTATTTAATTACTGACAATCTTACATATAATATGAACTAAGAGAAGTCGAGATCATATCCACAGAGTAATACTGCAAATGGACTTTAGTATAATTTCAGAGCTGAGCAAAGAGTTTCCAGCAATCTGATTGGTCGAGCGGTTCCTTATATGACGCTATATAAACCGCTCTGTGCGGTTTATATAAAATGTTCAACTAAAATGTTAATAAATGTTACTAAAACGTTATGATTTTAGAGATTTCTCTGTTGTTCAGTTCTGAAATTATACTAAAACAATTATTTGCCTCAGGTTCTGTGAATATTGTCGAATAATCCCCGAGACGAAGTCGAGGGGATTATTCGACAATATTTACCGAACCTGAGGCGAATAATTGTTAACTATCAGCCTATTAATAATTGTTAATATTATTGATAGAGACAAACCTAACATACCTGGCCAACAATAAAGCCAAGACGCAAAAATAAAATTACGGAAAACATAGATAGGGTGACTGGTACCACAACACCAAAGAATGTCGACAACTTGTTTTTGTGCTCTGGCTCTGAAAACCAAAAAAAAAATGAAGAAAAAAATAGTTACAACTTTAATTAGCAGATTGAAATAAGACAAAGTGCAAGTGTATCTTAAGTGAAGATTCTTCTTCAAACATTGCAGTCATATCGGGACAGTTATCTAAAATTCATTACAGCAGATTACTGGTAGTGTGAATCTCTTTAATTAATTTATTTTTCATTAGTTTTAATTACTTTTGTGTACTTTCATAGGTTATTATAAGTATTGCATTTATTATGAATAACATCTCTTTATTTTTGAGAAATAAAGAGTGCCAGTTCCCTGAATATTCATTAGGGGCTAGAGAATGGGTTATTATTGCTCTCTGCTGGTTGCCAGGCTTTATAAAATACTATGTGCACATTAACTAGGGGTTGTAAAAGAAAAACATGTATGGAGTGGTAATTATAAGTCCATATTACCACGAACAACAAGGAATAAAATACATTACCTTCAGCTGTCACAGACATAAACTTCTGTGAACTTTGTTCTTCACCAACATTGCTCAGTGGATTGGATAACATCAGAGAGTAACCTCAATTATTACACAAGAAAAATGCCTTAATTTCCTGTTACTTAAATTAAGCTAATGAGCAAGCCCCTCAATGATTAGCTATCAATAGCCTCAATCAAAAGTTGTATGGTTACTGTCAGTAGTGTCCACAGAAGAGCTTAAACTGGTGGGCTTTTTCAGTTAGAATTTCTCATGAGTATTCATCTCTATCACGCAAATGTGGTTAAGAAATGTTTTCGTTAATTGATAAAAGGATTTGAATCCGAATCAGGTTCATCTGAATTGATCTCTAAATTGAGTCAAAACTACATAATGTGCCTATGAACACTCTCTTTATTCATATCACTTTTATTAGCTATGCAAAATAGCTAATAATTGAACAAAGGAAATGTGTAATAGGCATGAATATCCAGACCAAAGCATTCTGTCACAATGCTGCAGTTTAATTGGCTCTGACTATTTGCTATTTTTTCCAAAACGATAATGTAGCACGTAGGTAGTACCTTAACAGTGACTGTGTGTGGTTGTAAAATAACATGAAATAAATAAAATTATAAGACTGTCTTGTTATTGAGTTTTGGACAACTAGTAGATTTATAAAACAATTAGCTTATTCATTCTGGGTTTGGTTTTGAGTTGATTCAGGCTTTGCCTGCAGCAAATATCATGCAACAGAAATCTAGAGCTCACAATCTAATTGCTATATACAGTATATCCTAGATCCTGGTGGTCATTGTGGTGTCAAGTATCACTGAGTATTTGTAGAAGTTGTTCTGTATTTTGACAAGCCCTTAACATCAAAATACAAACACCAAGTAAAAATTCTCAGAAATATTACACAGCATGTCTGCTTAAAATTATTCTATGCACATTATACATAATGAGGGAAAAGCAAAGTGAATAGAGAAGCTTTAACACACAGATGACTGGTTTCTTAGGTTTTTTACAACAAAAAAATTACCAGCTGTTCTAATTTCACAGGATATTTGTACTCTATTTGCACATTGTTTGTACACTACTTACCACAGTTAGATAGTGATAAAGAAAGGTTCTCCCAT